ATAATATTCTGGTAAAAGAGCGTATTCTTGAGACTAACTAGAAAACGGCAACTCCACGGAGTAGGAAATCCCAACGAACACTATAACATATATGTATAAACATTGGAAACATTAGATAAGTATGAGAATTTCTACTTATTTTAAAAGCATTTGAATGACCATTTAAGAGCTTTAAAGGCACAAATAATAACGACAAATTGAATTTTCAGAGGCACAAATCAGAAAGACAATACCAAAATAGTTATCTGCCCTAAATTTCCTTCATTTTGAGAATGATTTAGCCATACTTTGAAGCGATCAGAAATGTATTACAGAAGTTTACGAGGCCCAAATTACAAAACCGATACAATATTTGCAATCTACTCTAAATTGCCTTTCAATTGAGTTTAAAAAAGCTATACTTCAGAAAGATCTCAAAATTAACGCAAATTCCTGTTGGCAGCCATTTTGAATTTCCTGAGGCACAAATCAGAAAGACAATGCCATAGCAATGATCGATCTATCCTAAACTTCAATTTGAGTATAATATAGCCTTACCTTAAAGGGATCAGAAAATTATTGCGAAATCTGACATAAGGTGGCCATTTTGAATTTTATGAGGCCCAAATTATAAAACCGATACAATATTTCCAATCTACTCTAAATTGCCTTTCATTTGAGTATAATTAAGCTATACTTTAGAAAGATCTCAAAATTAACGCAAATTCCTGTTGGCAGCCATTTTGAATTTCCTGAGGCACAAATCAGAAAGATAATGCCATAGCAATGATCTATTCTAAACTTCCTTCAACGCAAATTCCCATTTCCCGACACCCCACCAAATATGAAGAAAATCCGTCCACTAGTATTCGAGTTATCTTCCGGACGGATGGACTGACGGACGGAGGGCTTCATTTGTTGGAATAATACGTTTTCCTGGAATTAAGAACAGTCATTTTGCATAGTTCAAAACAGAGAAGGGATTTTATACGTGAATTAAGAGGAGTTCATTAAACACAGGTATCACTAGAAATGGTGTTCACTGAAACAGATTTTACTGTAATTAGATTAAAAACTTTTATAATTTATATAGTTAAGACAATATACTGATTTTGAAGTGACCAATATTGCAGACATATGAGCAAGTGCGTATGTAGTTTACTTGCATTGCTCTAGTATTCAAATTCTAGGACTGGTTGTTTTAAGAATGTTGATTGTCCATTTACAAATTCAAGTTCATATGTCTAAACAATGGTATAGTCAAGATACACAAATGGTTTTGGGTGAGGTAATTCATCAACAAACACCTGAAAATGATTTGCTATTACTTTGAGTATCAAGGTTGTAAATGTCACTGGTGATCCACTCGATTACGCTGGTTACCGAAACGGTTCGTTTCGGCATGGGCTTTCAACTAGAATTGAATTGAAAGACCATGGTTTCGGTAAGAAAATGCACATGTTTGCGAAAAAATAGCTCAGAAGACAACAGAATCTTCGATTTAATTACTCACTTAAGTTACAGAAACGGTTGGGTTAAAAGTGCAGGAACTGTTTCTCGAAATACCGTTTCTGTAACTTAAGTGAGGAATTAAATCGACGATTCTGTTGTCTTCTGAACTATTTGTTCGCAAATATGTACATTTTCTTAAACATATGATACTAATATACGTTTGTGATAAAAATGTCGTGGGAATTCTGCCTACAACGTGTGAAATAAGGAAAAAAGAAAAATCGTACGTTCGACGTTCCGACATTTTGTTACCGAAACGGTTCCAGCGTAATCGAGTGGATCACCAGTGAAATGTAGCTCTCTTTTAAAAAGTATAATCAAACTATTGGATAGGGTATTTACTATTTATTGCCATTTCCCAGTCTTAATTAAATTTCCCCGTTACAGATGACAAGAGGTAAATCACCAACTGATTGGTTAATACATGTATTATGCAGTAGTAAATGGGTTTAGACTCAGTTAGATTTAGATGTGTTTTCTCCTTTCCTTAGGAAACATCAATAGACATGATATAATTTTGGTATGCAGTATTTGTTATTGATTTGTTATTTTGTTTTTGGAGTATTTCGAAAAAGTGTCAGAATTTTATTTTACTGTTTTTGCTCTCATCATTTCATTTCATGCCTTTTTTCTAAAAAATCATTTCTGATTTTATCTCAGGATATGTTTCGATTTTGAAGGTTATCTGGTCACATCTTTGAAAAGGGAGACTTCTTCATTTCATTAGATATCTCAATTCTTTCTCCAGGAAAATCAAGTGACGATTGTAAGGGAGACATTTACTGGAATTACACTAGAAAAATGGCTTCCAAGTGGAAAGCATTTTACAAGATCAGGTATCTGGATTACAACTATCATTTCTAATGCATTTTAAGTTTTTTAGTAACCACACTTGTTTTTTCTAAAACACTTTTTGTACTTTTTGTATGACAATAATATGAAATATATTCAGCGGAAGTAAACAAGTACATGTATTAATTAGACTTTGAGCATTTTAGACAAAATTTATCCCAACATCATACTTCTAACTTGATTGACAAAAATATCAAATAGCATTGCATAATATATCATCATATTTTTATTAAGTAATTGTTTTTATGTTTTAATAAAACGAAATCATTTTATATTTTTATGAAATGATGAACATAAAAAGTAAAACAAAAAACATGTACATTAACATGTTCATTTCTAATTAGTGGACAAAGGGAATAAAACCATGTAAGGCACTTTATCTTAACCTGTCAGGATTACATTTGACTCCTGAAAGCACTTAAAGAGACAAATGCTGATTTTTTAGTGAATGGGGGTCTAAGTAGTTTATAAAAGTGCTTTTATAAACCACAATTGTGATTACTCATGAATCTAGAAAAAAAGGTTAAACCATTAGGTGCTTTCTTCAAACTCATAGTGTAATTCCAGTAACTGGCATGCTTTTTGAAAATTACTTCCAACATTTTACACTCCCCATCACTTCAAATTTCTTAGTTAATTCTTCTCTTTATGATGATTCCCTTATTCCCGTGTCAGCTTTATTGTAAATAACAAATGACTGTCATCATGTTATACCATTACTTATAAATCAGTTTATTTATACTTTTATACTAAGTCTTCTTCACAAAATATAATAATAAAGATAGTCTTTAGATACACCTACAAAACAATAATACTTTTTCTAATATAGTCGTATCTGCTAATATCTCTGCATTAATACAATATATGAGGCCTATAAATGTATAATTACCTATTCTAAAAATGTTACCTGGTCACATTCCAATTTACTTCTATTAAGCTTAAAATGTCTGTCTACTTTGGCTAATTCTTTTGAGTCTCTCTCAATAATTTGAATTAGTATTGACTAAATGCCTGTTTATGAAATTACTCCTAATTAATTTCCATCCTGTTTGGTTCCATTCACACTTAAGAACAGGGCCTGGTTGAGTCAGACATTTTGTCCAAGGACAAATCCCATATATGAGGGATGAATCCCATATTTGTGGGTCGAAGATGTCCCAAATGTATGTCTAATGTAATAAGGTTTCAGGTTTTTCTCAATATGACAGCATTATGAACACTGAATGGAGTTGATCAGATTTATAAACTAGTTTGTGAGCTGTTCATTCTGGATGTGAAACAAACAGAGTTTTCCAAATATAGAACTCATTACTTTATGAAGAGGAAATCTGTTGAAGAGCAATTTTCTAGTCCTTATACACCCTCCCCTCAATTGGAAGTGGGGAGATGTGATCAATATGAAAGGAAAGAGCCAAGTTAATATATAAACATGTTTTGGCAAAATAACTGAATGGAGACCCAGTCCTCTCTCAATGTTTGTGAAATCTCCAAATACATTAAAGCTACTAATCATGTCCATAACCAGCCTTCAGTAAGAGGTGGGGAGGGCTCGAACCCCCACATTTAAAAAATTTATCATGCTTAAAGGATGTATATAACTATCTAGGTCTTAGAAAACGTATATATGGCCAGTGATTTGTCATATTAATATATATGATAATAAAAATGTATTGTGCTTTCAAGTAATAAGCCCAAAAACGGCAATGTTATTGTATTTGATTTAAAGTGGGCCCCTCATTAAATACACTGGACGAAACGTTCTGAAAATTGCTAAAAGTAGGGGTCATTGTAACAACTCCCACTCCGTCAATATTTTATAAATTTACATTTTCTTCAAATGGAATGAAAGATGAATATCAACTCTAAATGTATAAGTAATTAAAAGTATTATAAATACACAGCAACATGCAGAATTAAGGCTTTGAAAAGGTGTCAAACACACTTTGATAGTTATACACAACCTTTAACAAACTCCCTTTGTAATGGCAAGGCTATGTTTAACAAGACACCAGGGGTGGCCCCAAAATTCAGAGGAGAAGAGCCAAAGAAATTTTGTGCTTGCAGGAAAGGGAAAAATATGCCTAGATTTTAAAAAACAATGCCATGTCTAAATTCCCAAGTTTATGAATGAGCCCCACAGCCCCCCTGGTTACGAGTCTGCTTATGGCCTACAATCTTCAGTGTTATTTTTAACATGTTACCTAACTTCCCCCTACCCAAACATAATAATAAGTTTTGCAAAACATAGTAGATAATTTGACCTAGCCCCTTTCCATCCATGTTTTTCAAAAATCTTCACATTCAAATAAAATACCTTAATGATACTGATTAGCTTTGCACCAAGCCTTTCTTACACCCCCTCAACAATTACACAACATCTACACAGGGCTGAATTTAGCTACATGTAGTAGAAAGGAGGGACCAGAGATTTGATGCATGATAACATAACAATTTCACTTCAAATCAAATCAGATGTAACAGGCCCGTAGCAGGGGGAGAGGTGGGGGGGGGTTAAGGGGGTTCAAGCGACCCTCCCCTGGCCAAATATTATTTCAAAATCATGCAATTTTACACCATTCTGAGCACTTTTCAAGTGATTTTGGGCAAAAGTTGTCAAAAGTGAACCCCCTTGGAATTTTTCAAAAAGTGAACCCCCTTGGCAAATCCTGGCTACGGGCCTGTGTAATATACTCCTAATACCGATTTATAATATACCAATAAAAAAGTATAAAGGCTACATACATTCTTAAACTAACTAATGGTTTAAAAAGTGTGGAAAATGGCTATCACATCATCAACATTCATCACATTGGCCATGCTTATTTCTTCATAATATCTGATAGGAGAGCTTTCTATAGTATATTTTGTATTCTAATATGATACATGACGTCACAATAACTAGAACAATCCATTTACTGGTCTTAATCTAGTATGTATGACCACTTAATTTCATAAATGCAAACTAGTAATTGTTTTTCTGATCTTCCTTATCATATTAGAATCGCAACAAATTAAGACCTCAACTCTATGATTTATGGCAAACATAATGACCTAGGATTGCCAAAGACCTCAATCGCTATGTGATTTTGGTTTTTTAAAACAATGATCAGAATAAAATTTTCGATCATGTATTGCGCCATTATTCATATAATCTTGGTTTTTATTGCTTAAACATATGGCACAAAAATATACTGCTTTATTGTGGAACTGGACTCATTTGGGTATTTTTGAGCAAAATATATACTAAGTTTCCCATTTGCAGGCATGAACATTTCTTGGACTACTGGTATTTATTATTGGAACAAAAAAGAAATTCAAATCTTGATGTATTTATAACACATGGTGTGTAATCATTTACAGGTCAGAACCACTTTAACCATTATTGATGTCTAGCTATCTGCTTTTTGTCTTGCCAATTTCTGCTCAGTGAAATACACATGTTCATTGTGATATTTTTGGTGGGATTGATCATTTTCTCTGGCTTCCATAATATTGTTTATAAAGAGCTGGCGTTAACTGGCTAGAGTTTGGGACAGTTCTGTAGGTACTGGGGAGGGACCCTGATGGGTAGCTGTGCTGGGATCCTGGGGATGACGTCCTGGAGAGTGAGGGTCGAAGAGCAAATGCTGGATGGACCATGGTGCTGCCACCTGGTGAGTATTGTGGCACATTAATACCCCGTTCAGCGGGAACCTGAAATGAAATAAATTATCTTTAATGTTTCTTTTCTTTTTGAGAGATCAATAATATTATCATGATTATATGCACAAAAGTCATTTCAGTAAAATATATGGGCTGTTTGTTCATTATTTTTTGCTATGCTTTTACATCTATCTTACATCTATCAAGTGTAAGGTTTTGCCATCTATATTGTATTAAATGATTGGTAGCGATATGGTGAACTAAATTGAACACATTTTCCAGTCATCAAAAAATTCTGAAAAATTTACACATCATCAATGTAATGGTCATCTTTTGAATGGTATCAATTCAATTTTTCATATATTGTTTTTAAAAAACACATCAGCAATTGTCTTTTGTTCTTGGCACCATATATTTGGAATGAAATGAAACATCTATCTGAACCTCGCTGGAAAAAATGACATATACACAACATATTTAGGTCTCTCAATATTGCAATTATACAAAGAAAAGTTTGGTTCATTTCAAACAATTATCTTATTGATGCAATAAAAGATATACTTTATTTTATCTATTTTGGGGTATTTATTTTTTATTTTTTTAATGAATCAAACTTAATTTTTTTTTTAAAAACAACACACATAAAAATGGTCACTCACTAGCCAAATTGTCAAAAGAAAGTGTAATATGCTTCTAGGTAGGCACTTATAAAATGACTACAAAATCGCACACACATACTAGCTAAAGTGTGCCATGTATATGAGTATTCATGTTTATGAGTACATGTATTATCAAATATGAACAAAATCCCTCTATTACTTTTCAAGTTACATCAAAAATCGTAAAACAGTGTTTAAAGGCCGACATATTTCAAGATGGCTGCCATGCGTTTCTTAAATAAAACATTTATAACTTTCTTGCATTTCAAACATATTGCCATCACAGTTTTATATATTGTACCCAAATTACTCTAAAATCGGCACTAAAAATGGCATTTTGAAGGTCCATTTTTGAGCAGAACCTCTTCTTCCATAGGGCATATGTGTACAAAATATGAATAAAACTGAGTCAACAGTATTTGAGTTATTGCATGGACGGAGCCATTCTCTATATCCCCTAAGTTTGTTTGATGGGATAACTATGATATTGAGAGATCTAAGTACAGTATGTATATGCCATTTTATTCCAACAAAATTCAGATAGATATATAATTTCATTCTCAAGAATTGGTACAGGGTGAGTCATAAAAAAGGTAACCCAATTTTTGGCACAATTCAATCTTGTTTATTGTACTTTCATTCCACTAAGTTTCATAGATCTAATCCAAATGGTCACGATTTTATGGCCATTTTAAAAAACATGCTCCAATGCCAAAGCATACGAAAATCCTCCAATATGACCCCCCAAAATTTCAATATTTCATATTTTAAAAATAATGTCTATCCGAAGAACCCTAGAACCATCAGAGATAAGAAAGAAAAAGAGCCATTACACAAGATATCTGTGAATGTGGAGTCAGAACAATTTCACTGACAAATACAAGTTTACCTTCAGAGGTGCGACTGGCATTTTGAGCATGTTTTGTAAAATGGTCATAAAATCATGACCATTTATAGTAGACCAGTGAAACTTAGTGGAATGAAAGAAAAATGAATAACGTTCAATTGTACCAAAAATGACGTTAAATCAATGCTTGATGACTGAGTTTGTTCTGGTTACCTTTTTTATGGCTCACCCTGTGGAAAAGAACAAAAATTCTTTACTAAAACAATTATATAAAATATATATAAATAACTTTCACATTAAATTGTTGTAAATCAGTGACCATTACATACAGGATGTGTTTTTTACAGATTGTTTTCAATAATTGATTCAAAAGAAAAAACAATGTTGAATAAATTCAACATATCACTACCAAAATCATTAAAAATGTATACATCATCAATGTAATGGTCATCTTTTGAATGGTAACAATTCAATTAAAGAAACCATGTCCATGGTACCATTTGTCTGGAATGAAATGAAACATCTATCCGAATGTCGTTGGAAGAAAATGACATATACAAAACATATTTAAGTCTCTCAATATTTTGCTCAAAAGTTTGCTATGATACTTCAGTTTTCCCTGTTTTTGGAGATTTGTGCAGTTTTTTAGATACCTTTTTAATGAGCCAAACTTTCCTTTGAATAACTAGGGAATTGAGATTTAAGTACAGTTGTATATATGTGTTACTCCAACAAGATTTGGATAGATATTTTATTTCATTCTCAAAAACTGGTAGAAAAAACACAAAAATTATTTACTAAAACAATTATAAAAAACGTTTTTGAATAATATTTCATGACAACTCTTCTACTGTCGCATGAAAAGAGATTCAGTTCGATATTGATGCACTCAATAGAATGGTCACAACAATTAAGACTTTATAATATTCAATACTGAACACACATATCACACTATTGAGGTGAATACCTGTGCATCTTTCATGATGATAGTTTTTTAAGAACATTTTACTAGTTTATTTCACTTACTCTGGAATGTGCAGCCTGAGTGTTAACATGTGCTGGACGAGGGTGTGAAATAATGGGACGATTGTTACTATGTATTGCATTAGGATTAGAACTGACATCACGGTGATTATTGAGAACTGCCAGTGGAGAATTTGGCTTCCCTGTGATTGTAAGATTCTTTGACGTTGCTGAGCGTTGTGCCGCAATGCTTGGACTTGGCATTCTGGGACTCACAGATGGTGTGATTGCAGTACGTTCGGGACCACGATCTCCATCCCTAGGACGTACCACTAGGGATATGGGCTCCTCCTGTATGGCGTAAGGGTCATAAGAGGGGATGGGGGGTGTTTGTGGAGTAGAGGTTTGAGACCTTGGACTGTTCAATGCAATACTATGTGGCTTAACACATAAGTCAAGAGCAACTGTTTGTAAATCACCAGAGTTACCATTTTCCTTATCCTTAGGCAAAAAACACTTAGGATCAAAAGGCTCTTTCTCAATTTTTTTTCGCTTAGTGTAAGGATTTATGTGATCTTTAGCAGCAGGTAAATGCCTTTTGTTAGTGTTCGATTGTGTAGTTGAGGTACTAGAGCTTTCCCCTTGAGGGGTGTGATGAATCACAGAGGGCCTATATGTCTCTAGTTTGACAGTATATGGTGGGTATGATATAGGACAAGAATGAGCGATCCCCTGGTGTTTCACTGGAACATATCTATGGGGAATAGGTGGCGTGTTAATAACAGTAGGGGTACGTGCTCCACGATAACCACTTCCTGGTGCAACGTTTCGTAAATGTTCCATCTTGGTCATCGAACCCAATGATTTTGTGATATGAGTATTTACATCTCCTGTTACACGATGAGCTTCCTTCTTATTCCCCCCAGGAATTGACTGTCTACTACCCCCAGTTACATTTTGCCTGCTAGTCCCAGGGACAGACTTAGACATATCTGGCTGGTTCCAAGGCATTGATGGATGGGAAAAGCCTGGGGGTAAGGGCCTGTGGTTGTACCCTGTTGATCCTTGTTTTAAGATTTGTTTACGACGCTCCTCCCATTCTAGTTCCCTCTTGCTGTTCTGTAAGTAAATAAACAGAATATATTAGGGGAAAGTTTGGATAAAAGGGGGAGGGGGTCTATCTAAAGTACTTAAAATCTTTTACTTCTTTTATGAATTCCTAATATGTTGTATCTCATGTTTAGGGAAGGCTCACATACATTACTGTGTTTCAAATATTCAGAATATTTGGTGAAACAAGAATATGCTCCACTCACTGGGGAAACCTTAGCCTGCTGGATTTTCAAGTCATACCTTAACATCAGCCGATGCATTATGGGAGCTCTGGGGTTGCCATCTTTTATCAACATTAGGTACTAATAACTTTTCATTTTCCTTGATGATGTCACTAACCCGCTTCCTCCCAGGATGTTTATTGACAGGTATGACATCACCAGTTGTCATGTCACCTTTGACATGACGCTCAAATGGTAATAATAACCTGTAAAGCAGCAATGCATTCAATGATAATTAAAAGCAATTTATGCAAAGAAAAATTATGTCATTTGTATTTTATCTCAATTTTATAATATTTGGAAGACATTAAAAATTACAAATTACAATTTGTGAAGTGATTCAGGACTTTTAGGTTCTTAGTGAAAATCAATCATCAATATTATGCAATTATATCTATGAATTTCAATATTTGTATACAACTCTTACCCATAGTTAAAATACACTTTGAAGTAATTCATAACTAGTGATAAAAAATAGTATAAAGAGCAGCTGCTAAAGTGAGACAATTTTTACTCATATTTAATCAAAAGAGAAGATAAGTGTTACAATGTCTTGATTTCTTTTCATTTTTAGCATATTTGTATCTTTATATTCTGTGCATGTTGAAATAAAAATACCATCATCTACCATCTAATAGTATTTTCTTCACCTATATAACTATTTCCATTACCATGTGTATATGAATATTGAGAAGGAGATTGAATGATTTGGTGTCACACAAAAAATCACAACGATTCCTTCATTATTGAGAAAGATATTATACAAAATTAGTGGGTGGAAGTTTTTTTGTTTTGTGCCACACTTAATTAATTATACATTATTATTATATCCCTCCTGTATGATACCTTCTCTAAATAAAATCTAGTTAAATTCATCAAGTTCTTGTTAAAATCTATATTACTTATATCTACATATGATATGACAACTAAACTCTCAAATCATGAATATATTATATAATTCTATAGTACTAGAAACATATAATGGTTAAGAAAAATTGAAGATCAGATCCAATCTTATAATGGTGAGTAGCTAGCAACATCATGGATATAGCTTCAAACAAAATATTATAAACCAGAACAACGGCAACGCCAAAGCGTAGCGAATCCCATCGAACAGCCATGGATGGCATTTTTACAAACAAAGTATATAGCAAAAATGGCAGCCATTTTTCAAAATGGCAGCCTTCTACCAAAAGTGTCATAAGACCATGTGCCATGCTTATAGTATTCATATACCAAATATGAACAAAATCGCTCCACTACTTTTCAAGTTATAGTAAAAAACGTTAAAATGGCGGCCATTTTTCAAAAAAAATTTCAAAATGGCCGCCTTCTACCAAAAGTGTCATAGGACAGTGTGTCATGCTTATAGTAGTCACATACCTAATATGAACAAAATCGCTCCACTACTTTTCGAATTATAGTAAAATACGTTAAAAAGGTGGCCATTTTTCAAAATGGCGGCCATTTTTCAAAATGGCCGCCTTCTAGCAAAAGTGTCTTTAGACAGTGTGCAATGTTTATAGTATTCAAATACCAAATATGAACAAAATCGCTCCACTACTTTTCGAGTTACAGCAAAAATCGTAAAATAACGAGTAAAGGCCGCCATTTTTCAAAATGGCTGCCATGTGCTTCTTTAATATGTACATTTCTAGCTTTATTAATGTCCTATATAATTTTTTTACATCTAAAGCATATTGCTATTACAGTTTTACATATTGCACCTAAATTACTGTAAATTTGGCACTAAAATGGCCGCCATTTTGAAATGAGCGGCCATTTTGAAAATTGGCTTTCGAGCAGAACTTCTATCCCCATAGGGTATATGCGTACAAAATATGAACAAAATCGGGCCAACGGTATTTGAGTTATTGCCCGGACGGACGGACGGACGTACGTACGGACGGACGGACGGACGGACGGACGGACGTACGGACGGACGGAGGCGTTCCCTATATCCCTCCGAACTTCGTTCGATGGGATAATTACTTCTCATAGTGTCTGCGTGTACAGGTGGCAGCACTTGTGTTGCCATGGTTACCACCCATGTGATCATAGACGTGCTTCCATAGACGCTTTGCTGTCACCTGTAGCCAGGTAGAAAGCATATGTAAGAGGCAGGATAGAGGGCAGCATGTGCTTAGCTCTAGTCACAAAGAATTCCATGTGCTTTTAAATTAACCAGGTTTTAAACACAAATAATACTTTTTGAATTAACAAATAAAAACAAAAGCCAATTTTGTCATAATTTTTAGAACCTCCTTAGCACCAAGCTTATAGCTATTATTCTAAATTGCATTTGGGTTTGAGATAATACAATGGTGTTCAAAGGTGTATGGTTAGACTTTCTATCCAAGTCTAAAGAAGACAACTTGCGAAATGTGGCCTATTTCAACATTTCTGACAAATCCATATTGACCTGATGTTAATTATAAGATCTTTCTTTCAATTATAAGAGCACAAGGAAAGATTTGCAACTGAAAAATAGCAACAAAGGTTGAAACTACCTTATAAGTACACCTATTGTAAGAATACACTTGTGTTTTATGAAATATGCAAGCATCCTTGCAAGCCTCTCATAGAATACACCTGGAGAATAACCAAGTATCTCATAAAACACAAATGTATCTTATAACACACAAATGTATCTCATAACACACAAATGTATCTTATTAAAATACAAATGTATCTTATAACACACAAATATATCTCATAACACACAAATGTATCTTATAAAATACAAATGTATCTCATGACACATAAATGTATCTCATAACACACAAATGTATACAAGAGTCTGAAACAAGTAAATACACAGGTGTTTCTCAGATTTACACAAGTGTCTCTTAAACACACATGTGTCTAATAGATATGTCCCAAGAATACAAAAGTGTCATACAGAATACATGTGTCTAAAAGAATATGCAAATATCTCAAAGAATACGCAAGTAATACACAAGATGTAAATTATTACTCAAACTATATTATTCTATGAAATTAAGTACTAAAACTTAAATACACAGGGTGCACACAACAACATGAAAATAAAAAATAAAGTCCTATAAGGAAACATATAAGTGTTTCACCTGTTATGGAAGTTTTTAAAACATTTTAAAAGATGTATCTTTTGTTATTAGGATCATTTTAATCAACTGAAATCATTTAAATCTTTCAAATCCGATGAAACAAGCCAAACTGCGTTATAAGAATTAATAATTTGAATGAGGGAAGATGTTTTAAATCATTCTTGGATAACAGGCAAAACTGAGTGACAGTCTATAAAATATGAGTGCCAAAATTCTACCATTTCAAAAAATCTAATGAAGGCATATGAAGGATGTTTTTTTCATAATTAACAGAAGTTTTGCCCATCAAAATATTTAAAAAGAATTTTTGAGAATTTCTACTCAACAATAAATGTCTTGTCTCATATAGATGAGGCAACAAATATACAGTACAATTAGAGACAAGGAAAACCTTCACATTCTCAAAGTAATATTAGAATGGTGTCATTAAAGAATTTTCATTAAAAAGTTTATGTGAAAACATAGACTTTTGACACCCTGTAGATTAAAGGGAACAACAGGTCCACTACCAACAGAGTTTATCTAAAATAAATAACTCTTAATTAAATACAGGGTGGGAAAAGGGGTCCTCTATGTGTAAACCAAGAACAATTATACATTTTGAAAAAAAGAAAAATAAAGAAGAAGTAAACAGTCAACTTTTGAAGCCATTGACATGTCAATAGGTATTTTATTAAAATATGGCTGAAATTTATTCCTAGTGAAGATTTCACCAGTACACATTCAATAACTTCCTCTAAAAATTTCAGCCAGAAATTGTTGTAAAAATCAATGTTAAAATACAAGACTGGTATGTAGAATGGATTCTTCACAAATTGTTCATGTTTTATATAAGGCATTAACTAAGCTCAGAAGTACTAGAACACTATAATATTACATATAATACAAGGACACTTTCCATAGGTATATAACAAATAGTAGTACGTCTGTTTTACTTCTGGAGGCTGAGGGCCTGGTAGAGAATATTTAGAATATAATAGAATGAATAATTAATTGAAGTATTAATTTTGGAAAGAAAATGTCCTTTTTTACACCAAAATATGAAAAAGTTCAAACTGAATGCAATGTTCAAAGGCAAAATCTACAAATATGCCATCTATGATAACATATTTACCACAAAAGAGACAAATATAACAACAAAATCTCATTTGTAATCAAAGCAATTGCTGTGACAATATCACTTTCAGTTCAAATTCTAAAGAGCAGAAAAGGAGTGAAAAGTGCAATAAACAGGGAAGTATGAAAACATATTGATTATTACTTCTCGTAGTTGCGTCGTGTGCATGTGGCAGCTGCAGTGTTGTTAGGGTTACCACCCATGTTGTCATAGAGATACTTCCACAAACGCTTTTGGCTCACCTAAAGATAACATGCAAAATAGAATATTTCCCCAGTCTTGTCTGTAAGAAGGAAATGTTTCATATCCTTGCATTTCTCACAATTTAGAGTTTATATTTCATGCCTAAATATATTATTTCCCACTAATTCCAAAGCTTTTTTATTTAATTTGGCATTATAAAACAAGACCATCTCATGCCATGAAGTGTGAAGCTTCTTTCCCACTGTATTTTGCACAAAGAATGGCTGTCCGTGATGAGTTGCCAACTCCTAATGTTTTCAATGGTAGGCTTGCTCTTTCATGTAAACAGTGGTAAAGAAAATCAAGTTCACAGTTGATACATACAAGTGTCAAGTACTACATATAACATATAGTTTATCATACAAAGTTTTTGTAAATGTTTAAATCAAATAAGAAAGAAGTAATATTAAAATATATGAGATCTTTTTTATGATATTACAAATTATCAACGAAAAGTTAAGTTGAAAAATTTAGCCTACCTCAGTATATCCTCCAAGTTTCTGAGCAAACGTGTAAAATAAATAGAGGTCAACTAAAATAAGATAAATACAGAGAAGTTTGAATAAACCACATTATATCATTTTAATTCTGGCACTGTTAATGTTCTATATGAGACCCACCACCAACCAAAAATACACATATCTGAAAATAAAAGAATTAAGTCCTACAAATTGTTCACATTTTCCATGCAAAAACAGATGCATTATAGACTATGTACATAAAATAATACATAAATGGCTCCACTGAGTCCCACAAGCTAGATCCTTTAAATAAAATGGAACCAATAATACTTCAGTACAATAACATACAACACCTTCTCCACAGCCCTTCTTTATTTTGGTTTGTATCCACAAAAATCAACAAAATAAAACACAACAAATGCTTTTGAATACATGCATGGAATAAACATGGCTATACATAAACTATGTAGGCTGGGTCCCAAAACCAGAGTTCCAAGCTTCAATGGAGAAAAATAAAATAGGAAACATGGTATACAGACATACAGATATGGGTGTAGCCAGGCATGGTCAAAATTATGTAAATATATCTCCCATGCCTTAATCTGCCTATTTCCATTTTCCTTGCCTTTGCCAGGCTACACCACTGTCATCCATGCCAAAAGATAAAATGTGAAGGTAGAATCTCAAGAACCTGATTTCCAATGCACATAAAAAGCTTATATGGAGAAACATGTAATAATAAAAATGGCAGTGTTATCTAGTTGCTATGACAACGATCAAATCAACATGATGTACATTTTCAATTCCATAATTTCTTACCTTAATTAACTCAGAAAATTCCTCTGATTGCAAAAACAATAATTATCATCAAATCACTAAAAAATTATAACATTAATAATTATATTATCTAATTGTATTATTTTATGCTATTATAATGACAACAAAGAAAAAAAGAAATATTTATTCCTTTTATATTAATCTTTTCAGCTAAACACATCCTGTCTATTCCATTTATTTTTTCTCAAAGAGCTTTTTAAAACCAGGAAACAGCAACTCCACGGAGTAGCAAAACCCACTGAACAAAACAGGTATTTGAGTTATCAAAGATTATGTGTTTTTATAAAAAAAATGATGGCCATTTTGAAATTCAGTTGCCATCTTGAAAATTCCTTTTTGGCCAGAGTGGTGTGTCAAAAGGAATTTGTACCAAATCTGTCCACTGGTATTTGAGTTATCAGAGAATACACTTTTTTAGGAAACATGGCGACCATTTTGAAATTTGATGGCTGTCTTGAAATGTCTTCTTAATCAGAACTCCTTTGTCTCTAGGCATCAGCATATAAATTTTGAACCAAATCCATCCATGGATATTTGAGTTATCATAGATTATATTTTTTATGAAAAATGGCCGCCAATTTGAGATTCAGTGTCTATCTTCAATATCTCTTCTTTTTTAAAGCTCCTTCGTCCCTAGGTATCAGCATATAAAATTTGAATCAAATCTGTCAACTAGTATTTGAGTTATGTAACATTACATTAAAGAAAAATAGTGAATCAAATTCATCAACTGGTATTCAAGATATGGCCCGGGATCAGGAAAGGACGTCTTTACGGCTTTTCTTTTTATCCCCCTCGAATTTCGTGCGTTGGGATAATAAAACACATATGATAAACACACATGGGATAAAAAATCATATATTCTCACTTGTCTTGAATCCAAGAGAAGGTATCCTCTCTATCGGTGTCCCTCGCTCCCTCATGAACTGATGGAGAGCAACCAGGAATTCTTGTTCATTCATCTCCTGACCATTACCTTTAATAGTCTTATTGGAGGATACTCCGTTTGGACGCTGCTTTTCTATTGGCTTCTCTTTGGATTCTTGAAGCTTCTCCTGTAAAGATCAACAAAAACAGTTGAAGTGGATTGAAATTGAGTCTCTCTTCATGATAAATCCACTGATGACAATAGGCTTTCAAAATTAACATCATCGCGTTTCCTCATTTATAATAGTCATAAAAACTAGAACAATAGTTTTACTGGTCTATATTGGAGTATATGAGACCATTTAATTTAAAAAGTTCTTTTTAGGTTTGTTTATCACATAAAATTGTAACAAAGACCTTGATTCTATGATTTATGGCAAATATATCACCATAAATAATTAGTTCGTCAGTTTTAGGTACTTTAAAACAATTTTCAATCACAAAACCTGCCATTGACTTTATACAGGGTGGTCGACATCATTCACACTTTTGATTGCACAGCATTTTCTAATGATAGGTAGATTTCCCAATTTCTTTCATAGACCTATCCTGATCCTACAGACATGTAGGTTTTGTGTAGTGTTTGTTTTATTATCATATACTACCATAATGTGAGAACAGATCAATAGTTTGTAATGTGCTCAATGCAAGCTCCCTGCACACATTGTAATGTGCATGTTGTCATAGGGAATTCTCCTCATCTCTGTTTTAATATTCTTTGGCTCATCAATAGTTTGGGGTTTGTTTGCACCTGCCTTTAAAGTATCCCCATCAAAAAACTTTATATGGAATATGTCTTGAGAATGTGCAGGTCATGTGTGATCCATGCAGTGGGAGATGAGTCTGTCTTCAGGGAAGTAATGATGAAGGTATTCAAGTGATGGATTGGAGCAGTGCAATGTTGCTTCATCTTGCCACTGTAAGATAACAGTATCAATATCAACCCCTCACTACAGCGCCAATCCAGGATGAATTCTTTTCTCATAACTTCAATGTATCAGTCCATGTTCACAGGAAATGAACGTCCATTAACATCCTTAAACCATATGGCCAATTATCACCATTATGACCTAACATTCGCCAGTCAACTTCTCTACATCACATGTTTGATGCTGATGCTCAGAAGGCTAAACCTGAGCCAAAAAGTGCATTTTCAATTTGTTGAAGGTCATTCCAAACTTAAATGTGCAATTAACTACAGTGATTCAGCACCCAAGAGCTTGGATTGAGCACATCTTATGGTGGTATATCAAAATGAAAATTACACCATACAAAACATACATGTCTGTAGGACTGGTCTATGAAGAAAATTGGGAAATCTTCCATTAATTAGAAAATGCTTCATAGTCAAAAGTGTGAATGATTTTTTGACCACCCTGTACATGAGAAAGTTCCCTGAAAATGACATTCTTACTTTTTGTCTATAGCGCTACTAATGTTGAGTAAAAACCGAAAACTGTAATTCAAAGAGCTTTCAAGTCTTCCGATGGCATATGTTGCACATACAGCAACCCCTAACATTTATTTGAAAGTTCTAGTTTAGCAAAGTGTTTGATGTTCAAAACTTAGTCAAAATAGGCATTTCTCAAAAAAAACTGGAAATGGTGATGACAGGTCAAATAGACACTACACAGGATAAACAGAAAATGAATACACTCACTGGGTGATATATGGCCTTATATGAGGCATGACGTAATCATAAAATTTGAAATCAACCAGCTGCCATTTTTTCACTTCACAATTTGAATTGCGAGTTTTGGTCTTATTAGCTCATATAAACTTTCGAAACACACACAAAGTGATCATTCTACTAGTTCAAATGTTTTGGATTGCTACTTTGAATTTACAGCCAGTTATAATGTGAGACATTAACAACATTTTTCAGTTTTCATCATTGTCATAGAATATCCGCCATTTTTCTTGGAGCCGGTGTTTTAATGTTAGAAGAAAGTATGCAATATCTTACAAAGGACAGTGTTTTTTTCACTTCTAATTGATGAAATATCCTCATTAATGTTGAAAAACATTAAAATTTATCTTTCTCAAGGACAAACGTTTTCATTACTGCACAGTTGTCCTCATGCCATGACTTCTTGCCAAGTATTGGCTAGAGACTTGTGTAACTCCAACCTACCTCTCAAATGCAATCCAATATTATGGATATTTTCTTTTCAGCTAAAAAAGGGGAACACTCCACATTTTGAAAATAAAAAATAAGTGTTGGCATTCATATTGTTTAAACTTTGTCGAACAATTCAACCTTTTTGGATGTTACCCACGATTTTTCGAGCAAAACTGTTTTCATAGATGTGATATATGATATATTAAACAAGGTTCTCTTTTGTGAAATGGAACATTTTAAGCAACTATACCTTCATGGATGTGAGGAGTGAGTTCTGTACTGCTTGTTGATAATCAGCATCATTTGAAGCAGAATCTGAATCCATTCCATCTTTTAGCTTTACCTTTCTTTTGCGTGGACGCCCTTTCAGGTTTGGTGCTAAAAAATTAAATAAACATTATTATTGCACTTACTGGTATTTCTTTATCCTATTTTTAAATTTATCTTGATACTATTTAAAATAAAAATTCAACGCACTTGGTATCTTCTATATTCATTTATTTTCCTCAATTTGCACTTTCTTAACAATAACATTGTCATATTATTTAATTGAATTTCATATCCCTTCATAAGATTGGTGACCGTTGATTATGCATTAACACAATAAGTTGTCATAAATTTATTCGAGGTGGAGAATTAAAACAATGGCAAAGCTGCGGAGTACGACTCGCGTAAATGTTCAACATAGATAAGCGCCATATTGGAGGGACATCAGGAAGGGTGCCTTCCACATCAATGGACAAAACTGAGAAATCCAGGTATTTTAATTCCTATTTTAATGTTTATTTGGTGACTAAGAGAGTACTCTGTATCCATTGTTGTTATGTTCACAAGAAAATAAGCCTGTTTTGGGCAGATGGATGGACTGTGGCAAGAACTCCAATTTTCTCAGAAATTGTACATTTTCCGCTTATCAAAGATCACATGAGGATGTAATTGTGCCGACAGTACTTGAATTTGATAACAATGCAATGATACTACTGGTTCCATTGTTTAAATATATTGGGTATATTGGAGACAAAAGATAAAACTACATTTTTTGTGGCAAAATTCAAATTTGTGTGTGTTCATGCTAAGCTATTGGACAGCCGACCAACAAGAATGTTATGAGAGTTTATGTATGTTGATCACCGAATGGGACATATCTGCCTGGTCTTGTGTAATTTATCCAAAGCAATGATATACCCCAAATTTAAACATGGTCTCCAAATCAAGTTTGGATTTACCGCCATATTGTACAGCAATAATGGGCTGTAACCTTGTTTTGAGTTACCCAAGTCGCAGTCCGCGGCTGTGCCCTTATTTTGATTCCAACCTGTGTTATTGAGAGAAAAAATACATATGAAAGATTAGTTCTGACTCACCTAAGTGTTCGCAGCGGAATTTATGTCCTTGAATATCCTCTGACTCAAAAGTCTGACGGCAAAACAAGATACGTGTGTTGGGTTTTGAGACAGTAATGCCACCTATTGCTTGGACGACAGCATTTGTTAACCACTTATCTGTGCATCCCTCTAGCCGTTTCAGAACTGCCTTGTAGCGGCAATATGTTGAATAACTCACAATGAGGACATCTGTATTACTTGGGGCAACTTGAAGATCACCTTACAGAAAAAGAATAAAAGTCTTTTAATCCTATGCAAAGTAAAGTCTAGTTTATGTAAGTCTATGAAAATAGTTAGTCTATGTGAATTAAATAATAATCAAATACATATGTAAAAGAATAAGAAGGGCCTGAGTCTATCGATTATAATTCTTTTTGAATGCTTTCTTTTGAAATAAAATGCAATCTCTCACAAGATTAATATGCCGACTCTGTCTACGGATATTTCAATAGTATTTTACAAACTGCATGAAAAGTGAAACTAAAATGCAAAATAATAATTCATTCTACAAATGAAGCCTTGAAAAAGCTGAAATTTAAAAATGTTTTGTTAAAAATGTGTGACTAGATAATGCTCATACTGCAGCATGTTATTTTAAAGGTATTTTGTTAAGTAGAAATAATGTCAAGAATTCAAACAACCACTAAAGGTAGTTATTTATTTAAAAAGTGGCCCCTTGCTAACAGCAAAGGAGCAATGATCTGACGAGTATTCAGCTTTAAAGATATATAAATTTTATGATATCACACTTTTTTTTACTTCTTATGCGGATATATAATTTTGATGTATTTAATGAATAATACCCAGTAATCATAGATGCTAGCATTCCCATCGCAGACAGAATTTGTTAAAACTTCAAAATTTTGCAGAATACCTGACTTTCATGAAAATCCAGTGGAATTACCAGAATACTTGGTCCGATTTCCGGCGGTACAAAAAGAATTAATTTCATGATGGTATGGGGATTAAAATTTCTTACCTTAAAGTCCTTAAAATCACTTAAATTCAAATTCCCATTAACTTCTTTCAGTCCTGCTTCAAGTCTTCATTTCTCCTCCCAAAGGTGTACAGTGGGGGGAGGGGGCTTCACAAGGGATCATAGCTTATTCAAGCCCATATAAGCCCAGAGGATCAAAACCACAGGCCCCTTATATCAATAACAAAAACAAACCATGACAATGACAAAACTCACCCAATGCATTTTTCTCTTCATTTACATCTCCCAGTTCAAGTCTTGGGTTATTTATAGCAAATGCTTTCTTTATGGAGTTACTCTGTGAAGTTGGTTTGATATAGGTTGGTAAATGACCTTGGTCCCAAGTCACATTGGGGTCATCGATGATCCAATTTACAAGATCCTCTCCCTTCAGGACAATCTTCTCTGCCACAGCTAAGATTTCATCCTGAAAATATAATAATATAATCTATAATATAACTTCATATAATATAATATAATTAATATAAATTAGTTCCTCTTGGTATATTTTAAGCCAAAAAGATGTGCCTTTTTATTCCTTCTGTATGTGACATTACATCAAATCAAATCTACCCATCATTATTTAATGAAACCACAAAACTCTATAAAACCATACACAATAAATCAAAATTACATGTACCAAATCAGATTGTTGGAGTGTGTGTATAACACTAATCCAATGCTAATTAACTTAAGAAATGATGTTCAATATTCTGTATCCTGATAATGTGAAACTGTCTTATGCTCACACGGTTATAAATACTCCACTTGCGTGAGACAAAATGGCCAAATGTTTTACAGTGGTTAGGATATGGTATAGGATATACATGGTATAGCATACAAGATTCACTTCTTAATAATGATATACGCAACTGTAAAACTGCTAATACAATGCATTAACATGCAAAATCTCACCACCTGCCATTTGTTACAGATGCTGACTGCTGAACACTATTGAAGACTATAATAATATATCACCACTTATGATGGTGATATTATAAACTGACATGTTCGGCTGCAAAAGAAAGTTTACGGAGGAGCTTTACCAAAAATCCAGCGAAAAATTACAATTATCACTTGTACTCGCAAATATTGCAATTCGTTTCCTTCATTTTGTTACTATACTTGCAATCACTGGACAAAGTGAAAGCATACAATATGGGTAATGAAATTGTAACAATGTAAAGAATGAAGTCATGAATAAAGACCTCGAAGAGAAGTATTCAGTCCTAGAGCTAAAAAATTCTCTCTGTACATGCTTATTCCTTGTGATTGCAGTAAAATTGAATAGACTGATAGAGTATGTGTTCTTCATGTCAGTATGTTCTATATTTCTTAGTCATTCCTCCTTTCCACTGCATTTAAATATAATCATCCTGACATTTCATTACTGGTAATTTCAAATGTAACCCAAACTGTTGATATCAAATTAAACCAGACACTATTATCTGAATTACCTTATCACAATTGTATAGCTTTGTAATTAGTATTTGTGGCAACTCAAGGTACAAATGCCATATTAGATTATTGTGGGCTATTTCTTGGAGGAAATAAAAAACAGATAATATGATTTCTAGCCATTCCAACCACAAATGATCATTCAAGATATACAGTTTCAGTAATCAATTGTAAGGAAAGGAAATGTATGTTTGTGTAATATTTTGGCAACAATCAAACATTTAAGGTAAATGTAATGTAAAGTCATGTCTGAATTTAAAATACAAATATCAGAGAGAGAGATAACAATAGAAGAATTCATGATAATGCAAATACTATCAAATCAATTTATCAAGTGTATACTAAATAACACTTAATTGAAAACAATCTCATATTAAATTACGACTACATTTGTACTTTTCTATTTGAAAATTATTGCGTCGAATTCATCGCTTCACAATGTTTCATAGATGGCAGCACATACATAAGTTAAATTAAGTGTTACAAGACAACTGAAATTATGAATTAATTTCGATAATACAATAACAAAAAATGTATAACTACAATGGACTGTATAATGAATACTATATTTGTAGAAATCAACTATTTTTCAAAGAGACACAAAACATCAGTTTATTAGTCATCAATCTACAGTATAATCGTACACCTGGTTGGTACCAGTGTATAAAATCATTCAAAATGCAAAATTGCAGTGAGAAACTAGAAACAGTGAAAAGTACATAGATATCAAGAAGACTAAATTACACAGACACAGCAAAAAATCAAGCAGTTCATTCATTGATTTATCAGAGAGAATGCTGGTAGATTAGAGTGAGCAGATTGACATTATGTAAGGGTGTTTTTCCATTGCCTATAAGACACCCCCCTAAAACCCATTGTCTTAGCCTGATTATATAATTTTATGCAAGGATCCCTTAGCAGAAAATCAATTATAATTCATCAATATAAGAGGTGAAATACTAGATAAAATATTTTTCTTTGATATACACTGTATGTCCTGACCCCTTTAACTGTCCTAAGAAATCACTTTTATGAAACATTGATACCATGTACCAGTCAATCATGTTAAAAATTGTAAAAGAGTGAAAAAATTAATGTTTTATTCAAATTTAGGAGCTCAAGAGAAATGGGGAGAACTAAGCATGAGCAGACAGCATTTCAAACATGGGTGATATCATATTTATGCAATCAATGTTTTGAGATTTTTTCAAGACCAATTACAACAAATGAATCATCATGCTGTTTACTGTAAACGAATGCCTGTGATATGTCTAGGATTAAGATCCCCCTGCTTAATATGTTTATTTCAAGTGATTTATCTCTAAAATTTGAACGAATCGTTAGACTTTCTGACATTTCATTATAATTTGGAATGTGCCCATCTTATTTTAATACTGAATTCTTAAGATGACCTCCACTCAGCAGTTCAACATGCCAGATTAACATGTTATGTTTCTAATAACTGATTTGTATTATACAGTATATGATCAAATAAGTAAATACCTGATGTCTTATGCTTTTAGTATGAACAATGGAGCAAGATGAGCTAATATAGAAAACTACCCATTACATAGACGACTCTTTAAAATTGCTGATTTACAATGATTCAATAAAACATGAATTTCTGTGGAGTTATGTATTAACAATATTGAATGCCAAGTGTGAGTCAATTTATTCTGCTCTATACTCTTTTATTGATAGGGATAGGGGATAATACAAGGATGTAGTCTCCATGGAATTAAAAAATTATTGGAAATGTAAAATCAACCTTTTACTTGGTATTTCGCACAACTTTGTTTATTTGAACATTGATTTGGCGGTTAACAAAGTATGTCTTAATTAAACTCAAAAGCTTGTGGGCAGGCATAAAAATAAATGCACCAACAAAGATCATTTCCCATTTCTTGGAAAGAGCAAATCAAATCAAATTATGAATTAGAATATTCCCAGGTTTACAGTATAAAGCAGAGAACATATGTGACCCTAACCTTCAATTTAATATGAACCATGGTCATATTTTCAAATGTGCAATAGAGTGCAAATCAGAGATGTGCAGAGGAAATAAAGTGAACACTCTTAATTGTTGAAAACTGCCAAAATTGAATACCTCATTCAAATTCTAGATAGAAATTCAATGAACTAAGCATGAACAGAGAGTTATATTTAGAATGGGTAATACACCCTGGTTAGGTTTAATTGCCATACATATCCTGTTTCAATGTTGCAGCATTACTGTTCATCGTAATACAGCTTCCAAGATTTTCTACAATCCTATAATTGTTTTGGCTTTGTTATTCCCATTACAGTAAACTCAACTCATACAAATATGTATAAGCAGGGGTTTCTTATCATTTCATGTCTATTTATGTCTATATTTAGATTTGATATATAATGGCAAAGTAATAACATTATAATATTGGTACTGCACAGTTCAAAATGTTCATAATTCTACTGCAAAGTAAGATGATGATTAAAAGGATTAAAGTTCATCAAGTTTTAGACATAAATTGGCAAGCACAGAAATAAAATTTACAAATTGCCTGGCCTGTTCTATTTGGAGAGAGTTTTCTACCACACAAGAAAAAAAACATCCGTCATCATTCATTTCCTCATTTTCTCCATATAACCTTGAGAATTAGAAAATCCTTATATGGACAAAAGTGGATTCCCTCTTTTATAATACTGGTATATCACCATTCACGTTTTACTTTAAAAGTAGACTTGTTTTGCATTAATGTTTTGACAGCCTCAAATGGTACAAATATTAGTCATTGTTGTTTTTACCTAATTATATATTTGAATTAGGAGAGTAACCTTGACTGAAATATCATTGCTTTAACATGATATTCCATGCCATTTCTCTCTTGGAGTTTGCTTGAAGTGTCTGTCTTCCTGACATTTCTGGGCAATTTAGTTCGTTGGCACCATGCTTGTTTATTTCATTCCTCACCTATTCCACTCATTTTCGCTCTATTTTATAAAATACACTTATAACAATTCTGTATATTGTCCATTGCCTAGTTATTGTCTTATCACTTATTGGACCACAGATGTAAGGTCCATGGATAATATCATATTGATTAAGTTAAAACATAATGCTGTATAAAGACAAATGAAGTAAACATCTTAAATTATATAGAAATGCCTACCCTGCGTGCAGAGTCTAGTTAAACTACACTCTGCCTAGTAGAGACCATATTTCAGTTAAGTAGCCCCGCCCCATTATGGGTACCGGTGACAGTATGGGTAAATCACTTTTGACCTACGCGCTGACCTTCCACCAATCAGGGAGCTTGAAGAAACATACCGCAAATGCGTTCTAATTAAATATGCGCATGCCATTGGTCAATTCCGGGATCAACGATGACGTCAGAAGGAATGACCATATATAGAACGTCGGTCAAATTTGGCCGACGACCACTGATTGGCGCGGTGAGTTCACAGGTTTATTTTAGTTTGAAAGAGTGAAGACGAAGCTCTCTTTTAAGAAGTGTAGTCAAACGGATGCAAAGGGTAAGAAATGCCAGCAAATCAGGTGTAATACTTCATTCAAAGACCACAGAGAAATGACATAGAAAAACTTTAAATATAAACAGACTGATTTTTAATGTACATCTACAACTTCAAGAAGGTCCAAGGCAGGGTTTTCATTTGAACCTATTCTGTGGAGTTTAGCATGAGGAACAATCAATTTGATGTTGTTATAATCTATACACTGTATATTACTACAACCTCTTAATTTTGATATCTACTCCACACAATAGTAAACCCCAATGAACGAAACATGTTTTGATAAATAGCTGCCAACTTTAAAATTGTGACTATTTTGAACTGAGCAGCCATATTAAAAATTCCTTCTCAAGCAGAGGTCCTAAACCCATAAGCTTATAAAATTTCAACCAGATCCATCATCTAGTATTTGAGTTATTACCTGGACAGATGAACGAACAAACGGAGGGATGGACTTGT